GAAATGCTGGTTTGATCCCTGGGTTGGGAAGACCCCCTGGAGGAGGGCATGGCAACCCACTCCAGTATTCTGGCCTGGAAAAGTCCATGGACAGAGGAGCCTGGTGGGCTATAGTCCATAGAGTTGCAAAGAGTTGGACACAACTGAAGCAAATTAGCACAGACACACACATGTCAATTCAGAGTTGCGAAATATTGTTTAATCCTGAATTAGAATAGGTTACCAGTACTTCTCAAGACCTACCAGGAATTGGTGTTCCATCTGCTAATGTGAATAATGACTATTTGCATGGTCCCTGGGAAGAGGAGAGAGGTGTTTTTAAATAGATTTAAGAGGGTTCAAGACACAGCTCATGCTACAGTCCTACTCCATGGATGGAGCCATCATCCCATCAGTTTTTTTTTATATCCTCAATGGCATTTTGAGGGTAATTTTTAAAATATCCTCAATGATGGACTGAAGAATAAATACTTATTCTTTAATGATGGATATGATGCATAGAGGCAACCAAGAGAAGGCAGTGTAGAGGTTGAGGACGGGGCTCTTTCTGAGTGGAGGTTGGCTTCACTGGAATAAAGTACACTCTGTGCATGGCAGTATCACTCCCTCCACTTAATGGAGGGACAGGCCATGCACCAGAGGAGAAGAGAGGAACAGATATTCACAAACACAACCAAAGGAGGGGACCACTCCTGCCCTGGCTGCAGCCCATCCCCCAAATGGGACCAAGAGACCAGGGAGTAACGCAGGGAAACACACGATACTTCCAAAAGCAGAATGTCCACATTGTCAACTGATTGAAAACCGCAGGACCCCAGATGCCCAAATACACATTCTTGAATTTATGTATTTATCCAAATACCATCCCTCCCATCATCTTCACTCTCTCTGTTGAGTCTGCCCCAGAATCCTACTCAAGACCTCCTTTAGGGGTCCTGGACCACTCCCACCGCACACAGCGCCATGGCCCTACCTTGGTGATGGCTCTGATGCAAACTGCTTTCCTTCCAGATGTGTGCAGCCTACCTTGTGCATCCGTGACCCAAATCATGCAAAGAGCCAGGTGGTTGCTTTACATTATATCTCATAAGCTCAGCTGGCGTCAAGCAAACCTATCTGATTTTTCCCTGTGTGTGTACTTTCAGTTCTGTTTTTGGTGCCAACCTGTTATTACTTCTATATTTCATGTTTCACTTTACCTCTCATCAATTTGCTCTCCCATATTATGTGTATAAAATATCTCCAAATGTATATTCAAAAAAGTAACACATGGGTGGTCTCTGGGTGGAATGGAACTGGGTGGCTATGGGACTGTCTGGAAGGGAGACTTTTGAATGTTTTAATGTTGGACCACATGAGGAAATACCTAATCAAGAACCACAGAGGAATTTTAGGGCCATGAAAATACTCTGTATGACATTATAATGATGGATACATGTCATTTTATATTTGTTTAAATCCAGGAGAAGGAAATGGCAACCCACTCCAGTATTCTGGCCTGGAGAATCCCATGGAAGGAAGAGCCTGGTAGGCTGCAGTCCATGGGGTCGCGAAGAGTCGGACGCGACTGAGCAACTTCACTTTCACTTTTCACTTGCATGAATTGGAGAAGGACATGGCAACCCGCTCCAGTGTTCTTGCCTAAAGAATCCCAAGGACGGCGGAGCCTGGTGGGCTGCCGTCTATGGGGTCAGACAGAGTCGGACACGACTGAAGCGACTTAGCAGCAGCAGCAGCAGGAGTCTACTGTGTAGTACCAAGAATTCTACTCAATATTCTGTAATGATCTATATGGGAAAAGAATATAAGAAAGAACAGATATATGTATACGTGTAAGTGATTCACTTTGCTGTATAGCAGAAACTAACACAATATTGCAAATCAATCATACTCTGATAAAAATTAATTTTAAAAAAGAAAATTTATAAACATTTGTGGTATAATATGGAATGCAACCACCTTCCTCCAACCTCCAATACTGAAATAGGTCAGTAAAAGTCTACAAAATGTATCAAAATGTGGGGAAATTGGTAACCCTTGTTCACTTGTGGTGGGAATATAAAGTGGTATTGCTCTTATGGAAAACAGTGTGACAACTTTTCAAAAAACTGAACAAGAAATTACCTTATGATGCAGCAATTCCACTGGTATATACCTAAAAGGATTGAAAGCAGCGTGAAAAGGAGATATTTGCACACCCACATTTATAGCACATGGCCAAAAGGTGGAAACAACATGAATGTCCATTCATGGGTGAACAGATAAAGAAAATGTGGTCTATCCATATGTTGGAATATTATTCAGTCTTAAAAAAGAAAGAAATTCTAACACATGCCACCACATAGATGAAGCTTAAGGATGTCATGGTAAGTGAAATGAGGCAGTCACAACAAGACAGATATTGTATGATTCCACTTATATGAGGTACCTAGAATATTCAAATCCATAGAAACAGAAAGCAGAGTGGTGGTTGCCAGAGGTTAAAGTGGAGGTGGGGGAAGAATGGGGAGTCATTGTTTAAAGGGTACACAGAGTTTCTGTTTCACAAGATAAAAAAAGAGTTCTGGAGATGGAACAATATAGAGTCGCACAACAACGTAGATGTGCTTAACATCACTGACCCGGACACTATTATGCCAAGTTTTACTTTATGTGTATTTTACCACTATTTAAAAATTTTTTAATTTCTTTTTGAATGCTTTGTAAGTCAAGGTTGTGTGTGTGTGTGTGTGTCGTGTTGCATGGGAGATGGGAGAGGCAAGGGTGGGTGGCAGTGTGCTAAGCCTAGATTCAAGGCAAGGGCAGGATGGACCAGCATCCTCTGTGCAACATCTCTAGGGCAGACTCCTCACCAGTGATAAGCAATGCTCAGGTGGTTTATTTGCCCTAGATTGTATCCCAGTCCTCCTCCAACGGTGGTGCCTCGTGAAAGCTGAGCCTGGATTTGAACCAAGCACTCTGACTCCAGATTCTGCACTCTTAGTAATACTCTGTGCTACCTCTCTTTTCTTAACAAAGTGTCCTCCCCAAACCAGCTCCAAGGCCAACAGCAAAGACCCCAATAATTCATTCAGCTGAAAAAAGTTTTTTACTGAGAATGGGGCAGGTGACAGATAATGGCCTGGGTGATGCTCTGGTAAGCACTGAGATACAGAGTCTCAGGGATTGAGACCCTCTCCGTATCCGTGACCATTTGCCTCAAGATGCACCTGGCTGATGCGCAGAGGTGAGCGAGGACAAGGAAATGGCAGACGATCGATCAGATCCCTGCCTAAGGCACCAAAGTTCCATTCCATAGTCTCGTTACCTTCCAGGGAGAGGAGGAAGCCCAGCAGGAGTGGCAGCCAGTTGACAGGTGCTGGGAAATGTCCTAGAAAGTCTCTTGGTGAAGAAGCAGATGGAAGCAAGTGGGCTGACTTGGCATTTGGGTCACCATCCTCATCACTTCCTCCTCTGATGGGTCTCACCTCCAAGGGCTTCTGGTACCCAGGCTCTCTTAACAATGGAAATAGGTGTGGGGGTGGGAGTAATGCTCAGGGTGGCTTCCACAGAAGTGGGTTGAATCATGATAAAGGAGGGGAGCTGGGGACGAATGAGTTCAGGCCTCAGGCCAGAGCAGGCAAGGGGAGCTGCAGACACAGGACTCAGGCATAGGATGGGGAGAGGGACAACGGGAGGAGAAGAGGCAAAGAGGTGAAGGCCATGGTGATGCTCCCATAAGGAGCTGGGCTTTTGCACCACTGAGAGTGGAAGGACCAGGAGGAAGGGGCTGGGGGATCAGGCCAAACCATAAATGCTGGATAACAATGCTCATCCCCAACAACGGCCAAGCCATCTGGGATGAAACATCCACCTTCCCACTCCGAGCCACCTTGAGCCTTACTCCCCATCTCACACCTATTTCATTTCCACTGTTAAAAAAGCCTGGGTACCAGAAGCCCTCCATCAGAGGAGGAAGTGATGGGGATGGTGAGCAGAATGTCAAGTCACACTTCCCCTGGACTTGGAAGGGAAAGTCTTCGTGAAACGAAACTTCAGACTGACAACAAAAATTGATGAAGAAAGACACAAATGGCTGAGATAAAATGGTGATTTCCGAGAGCAGCTGAGACCTTCAGTGTTGGGGAGGGGTCCTCTGGATTGCCACCCAGGTCAGACTCAACTGTACCTTATCAGGGTCTTTCCCACTGAAGTTTCCAGCATCACTAAGGTGCACAGAATGCTCACTAAACCATTTGGGGGTTTTATTTTTTTTCACCAAAGAAATAGGGGATGCCCAAGTTTGGGTCCCCAAACCAGAAAGACTGTGGTTGCCTCAAATAAAGCTGGGGGTTTCAGGGCAGTCCCCACAGGGACTCTGGGGGCCCACTTCGTCCTCCACCCTCCGTGCTTCCTCTCCCACCTCCACCCCATCCCCACCCTGGCCTTTTCCTCTCTCCCTTCACTCCCCCATTCGCAGAGAGGGCTGCCCACAGGGAGTTCTCATCCCTCTCACCCATGGCTCTCAACTTTACTGGGCCTAGAAGTCTCTGGAGGAATCTGTAGAGACCCCTCCCCCATCCCCCGCTCAGAGGTGGAGGATGAAGCCCAGGAATCTGCATTTTTAACGAGCATCCCAAGCTGTACTGATACTCTGGAGTACAACCTGCTGGAGGGCAGATGCCCTGTCTTTCACGGATCACCCGTGCACTCAGCACACACACTCCCACACATGCCCACACTGGTCCACGCTGACACGCACACTCTCAGGGCTTCAGGATACACAGCAGGTAGCTGACACTCTGTCAGTCAATTCCCGAGCAGCTGGAGCCTGGGAAGGCATGTGTCATGGTGTTCTCGTCCCTCTGAACCCCTCACCTGCTATCTGACAGCTTCCCATCCAGAAACCACCCGGTACAGTAAAAAGCAGAAAAAAGAAAGCCGTTAGACCCCAGTGAATGTTATTTTTAATGAAAGTGGTGCATTTTGAGTCACTGCGTTGAAACCAGATTATAAATGAGTCATCGGGAATCAACCACAAAGAGCGTCTGTGAAGGTGATCTACAGGAGCGCTCTGACGCCTGCTGTCCCTTCACACACTTCGCAGAGACGCTGTCAGCCTTGGAGCTGGTCTGAAGCATCTGCTGCCGCGTCAGCTCAAAAGGCTGCTGTGTTGTCACCAACGGGATTCCCCCTCCAGCCGGCAGCGTGGTCCCACCCACAGACCAAAGGCAGCCATCGCTGAAGGATGCGGTGGTTACATCACAGCTGTTGGCTTTCAGGTGATGACTGGAGACAGTCACAGGCCATCTGCTCGTCCCATGCTCCCAGACTCCATCCTCCCGCCTGATCCTCGAAAGGGAGCCTGGTCCTAGGGCAGAAAAGCGGGACTTGAAGTGGGCTCAAGTGCCCGGTCTAAAGGGGTGGCTGCTACGAGGCAGGTAACAGCCTCCTGTTTCTCATGTCTAAAATGTAAATGGTATCACTCGCCTGCCTCCCTCACAGGAAGGTTGCAAGGTTCCTGTGTGACTGTGACACGATCACGGGCCATTCCAAGTCGTCGGTGAAAGATGTAAAACCTACTGTCTGGAGCAAGCTTTCACCCACCAGCAGCCTCCACCCAGAGCAGAAGCAGGTAACCGATCTGTGTGGCCTGGCAGAGCAGTGTGAGGTTAAATGCCCCTTCATCTCCTACCCCGAAAGGAGACACCACTGTTCACCTTGCCGCTGAGAAAACAGGAAGTGGGGGCCAGCTGGGGGGAGATTGCCCCAGGGTCTCCAGACACGACCTGGGGAAGAACTCCTAGACCATCTGGGGAGCTCTGCCGGGCTCCTGGGCAAAACTGCGGTCCATGTACAGCAACCCCTCGGTAAAACTCTCAACTGTCGAGCATGTGACCAGATTTAAAAAACAAAAATCTTCAAAGAAGGTGAGGAATTCATTAAATCTGCTCAAAAGAGAGGGAGCGCAGAGGAGGGAAAAAAACTGTTTGGCAAAACAAGCTGAACGCCTCTTCGTACCTGCAGACTGATGACTAGAATCAGCATTAAAGTGGAAGAGAGAGAGAAAAAAAAAAGAGGTTTTTAGGGACAGGCAAATCTATACTAGCATGCTAGCGTCTTCCTGGTTCTAGGTCCTTGCAGAGGCTATATGTTGTCGCTGGGCCTGTTTTTCCAGTATCCTTCCTCCCAAGATGGCTGTGAGAATTAAGCAGAATCATGTATGTGTTGTACCTACAAAGTGCCTGAAACATAATTAACAATGCACTTTTTTTCTTTCTGTGGAGAATTACAAAATACAGCTGCAAATTCTCCCTATCCTGGCAAGCATGCCTCTTAGCAGTGACTTGGCATCTCTTTCCATCAAGACTTAAAGCCTATTTCCCTTCTCCCTTGAATCTGAGTTCGCTTTAGCCAGAAGAATTTAGCAGAAGTAACAACGTGCGGCTTCCAAGGCAAGTCCTCACAGCATTCACACTTGCCCTCTGGAAATGCTGCCCTGGGAGCACCATGTTAAGGAATCTGGTTTAGCCTACAGATGAGAAGAGGCCATATGAAGTGAGATCCCCCGTCTTGACTGCCAGCACCAGCTGCCAGAGTGGTGACTGACGCCATCCTGAGATGACCTTCCAGCCCAGCTGAGCCTCTGGCCTCTGAAGCCACATGAGAGAGCCCAGACAAAATCAGCAGAGAAACTGTCTAACTCACCCCAAAATCATGGAAAATAATAAATCCTTGTTGTGTGAAGTCCCCGAGCCTTAGCTGATCCATTGTGCAGCACATTTCACTGAAACACATTTCCGCTCCTCCACCTCCAAAACCTCTTCTCCCTTGGCAACCCTTGAATTTCCCCAGGCTACGCCTGGCAGATTATTCAGTGAAATACTAACAGAGAATTTACTGGGACCAGGATCTGTGATCATGAAGTCATGTTCACATATACATGTTAGAATAATTCATCAATCAATTAAACAGCATCTACCAAGCTAAGTTGATAGTCAGCAAGTAAGCCTGTTCTACACTGAAAACAGATCACAAATACAACTCTGCATGCCCACCTCCACCACAGTCCCCATGGACTCTAGCCGACCAGGCCCCTCTGTCCATGGGATTCTCCACCAAGAATACTGGAATGGGTTGCCATGCCCTCCTCCAAGGGATCTTCCCAACCCAAGGATCAAGCCCAAGCCTCTCCTGCACGGGCATATGGGTTCTTTACCACGAGTGCCACCTGGAAAGCCCAACAGTGCTATCCTCCTAATTGGTATCTCCCTCTGAATTCTGTCACCCCACTCATTGCCATTCTCCACAGAGGGGTTTTTGAAATATATTCAGTCATTCAACACAAATTTAGTTTAGAGCACAAATATCAACCTCCATAGGATTTACATCCTGGTTGATATTTTGATATTTAATAAGTAAATTAATAAATAAAATATGTAGTGATAAGTAAATTAATAAATAAACTATGTGGGGTTAAGTGTCAAGAAAAAATGAAGTGGGAAAGGTGATGGCAGTTAGGTAACGTTGGAAGGGACTGTGATTTTAGATAGGATAGCCGGGGAAGGTTTTGATGAGACAGTGACATTTGAATAAAGACCAACAGGAGTTCCAAGAGAAAGGACCGAAAAGCCTAACCATTCCTGGTAAACGTCAGGAATAGTAAGGTCAGTGCAACCATAGTATAATAAGCAAGGGTGTGAGTAGTGTGAGATGAGTTCAGAGAGGTAACATGGAAGAAAGGTCAAGAAAAATCAGACTATGTGGCACCTTCTAAGTCAATGTAAGACTTAGGCTTTTGCTCTAGAGACACAGAGAGCCAGGAAGGCATTTTTTAAATTTTTGGCCGCACTCTACCATATGTAGGATCTTAGTTCCCTGACCAGGGATCAGACCTGGGCTCCCTGCTTTGGAAAGTGGAGTCTTAACCACTGGACCACCACGGAAGTTCCAAGAAAGCATTTTTATCAAAGATCATAGTGATGTGGTCTGATGTACTTTTTTTTTTTTTTTGCTGCCCTGGGTTTTCATCGGGTTATTTTTGTGCGGGCTTTCTCTAGCTGTGGTGAGTGGAGACTGCTCTTCATTGCAGTACCCAGGCTTCTCACTACAGTGGCTTCCCTTATGGCAGGGCACACAGAATCTTTCCAGACCAGGGACCAAACCCACGTCCCCTGAACTGGCAGGTGGATCGTCCTTCCATTGCACCACCACCTTAATAATAGTATTCTGAATAATGTATTGACTATAGACTGCAGAAGATTCTGGGATGATACCTATAGCATAATTTTTTAATCTTTCTAAATTTCACCATGAAAAAGAGCATAGGTAGGTAGTACAGAATAGCAAAAACAAAAACTTACAGACAATATGTACCACAAAACTAACTGACAAAACACGTCCCTGATCCCCAAAAGGTAAGTGGATAGGAACAAACAACCAACAGCTATGAGACCCAAGTAGGATTAACATCTGTACAAAAGCAAACAAAGGAGAGAGTCAAGGATCTGACCAACCTGGAAATCCCAAAATACTCGTGTTCTCCAGGTACCTGAAGAAACACTCAGGAAATCCCAGGTACTCAGCGGGGAGTTGAGAAAGTCAATCTGAAGTTGGAAGAGTTTTCCCCTCTCAATTCATGGGTGAGTTCAAAGTTCCTGCAACAGGAAAGGTCTGAAAGGGCTAGAGGTGTCTGGAAAAAAGAAAGGGGATACATGATAGGCTATCCGAAAAGGGAGGTTCCCTGGTGGCCTAGGGGTTAGGATTCCGGGCTTTCACCGCCATGACCCAGGTTCAGTCCCTTGTTGGGGAGCCAAGATCCTGCAAGCCACATGGTGCTGCTAAATAAATGAATAAAGGATAAGGGGAACAGAGCCCGGAGACTTCTGAAAGTAAACCAACAGATTCCTGAACACTACACACAAACGGAAGAGGTTATGAATGAAGTCAGAGAAGCCAGGTGGAACTATGTCTATGAGAGTTTCAGAAAAATTAATTTCATATAAAATTTTTCAACAACAACAAAAATACAAATTTATTTTAGGAAATATGTAAAAGTCACAGAATCACACCCTTGTAGACTATAAAAATGCCAGAAAGAGAGAGACACAAAATAAGTGAAATCTACAACATATTTCCAAAAAGGCTAAAAGAAAAACATAAATCAGAGCTATAACAACTCAGAAGTAAAATGATAGAATGCAGGAAAGTATTAGGTATATTTTATTTTTCCACACAGGGAAATCTTTTTTTTTTAATTTTTAATTGGAGGATGATTGTTTTACAATATTATGTTAGTTTCTGCCATACATTAACATAAATCAGGCATAGGTATACATATATCTCCTTCATCTTTTTTTTTAATAATTTTTAATTGAAGGGTAACTACTTCAAAATATTGTGTTGGTTTCCGCCATACATCAACATTAACCAGCCATAAGTATGCATACGCCCACTCCCCCTTAGGAATGTTTTAAGTCATATCAGATATCAGATTAAATTTAACAGAAGACAAGTGTAGTAATGTTGTGATATAATAAGAAATATATACTTTGTCTTGGTCCCCAGGTCCTCACAAAGAGCTCCTAAAACCTCTGAGTGACAGGGATGAGAGGGGGTGTTATTCATAATGAGATCCTTTCAACTATACTCAAATTTATGCTAATGAGGTGACTCTTTGCGGACCCCTAGATAACTTCAGGATGGGGCTGGTTGCCAGAGGAAACAACCACATAATGACAGCATTAAAACTTTCAGCCCCACTCCTTGACCTCAGTGGGAGAAAGAGAGACTGGGGACTGAGTTAACCACCAGCGGCTGCTGATTTAATCACTCAAGCTTATGCTGTGGAACCTCCACAAAAACCTAAACAAATGAACATCGAGATTTGTGAAAGCATCCATGTTCCAGGAGGGTGATGCACCACAAACTCCTCAAAGACAGAAGCTCCTGTACTTGGGACTATTCCAGATCTTGCCTTACATAACTTCATCTAGCTGTTCAGTGTTTCCCTTGGTTCCATAAACCATTACAGAAAATCAGTGAATCTGAGGAGGTACTCAGAGAAATCCTCAATTTGTAGCCAAATCAGATAGACATGTGGATAATCTGGGGACCCACAACTTGTGATTGGCAGCAGAAGTGGGAAGCAGTCTTGTGGGACTGAGTCCTTAACCTATGGGGTCTGCACTAACTCCAGGTAGTTAGTGTCAAAATGAATTAAATTATAAGACACCTGGTTGATGTCCATGGAGAAATGGAGAATTTTTTGATGTGGAAAGCCCATATGTGTGGTCAGAAGTCTCGTGAGAAAAAACAGATTATAATAGTATAAAGAGTGCATAAATACAGCAGATAATGCCATAATGGAAACAGAAAATTTAAAGGAAAAAATTATGTCAAAAGAACTGAAGAAAGAATGAAAAGGGATTTGAGAGAAAGTAACAAGCATAGAAGACAGGCAAAGAAGATCCAACATAATATAACAGAAGTCCCTAATTCAGACAACCAAAGCAAGGAACAGAACCAAAACTAAAATCTATAATTCAAGAACAATTTTAAATGTCAAAAATTAAATATCCAAAGCTTGCAACTACATATATAAAGTCAAAATGAACCCAGAACAAGTCATACCAAAACACATTCTGGTAAAATTTCTAGACTTTAAAAATCGGGGTCCCGAGATTATTTTAAGCATATAAAATCTCTTGGAAATCCAAGAGGAAAAAAAGCCAAACTACTAACAAGGGAAGGAGAATGATATTGCTCCAGATTTTTCAACAGCCACACTTATGCCAGCAGAATACATGGAAAGAAGGTGAGGACGGAAGAAAGGAGAACTGACTGGAAACAGAACCAGTGAGATGGATCAGACAGGAATGTGAGAGAAAGAACAGTCAAGGATGACCTGAGCAACTAGAAGGATGGAGTTGCATTTGATGATGTTGACTGTGGGAGGAAGAGGTTTGGGGCAGGAAATAAGCTCAATACTTTTGTACATATGACATTTTAACTATCTATTAATAATCTATGTGGAGAGCTGAGCAGGCAGCCATAGAAAGAATCTGGAATTCAAAACTGAGGTCTGGGTTAGAAATAAATATTCCAAAATCATTAGCATATAGAAGCTATTTGAAGTCACGAAACTGGACACTATCAATGTGATAGTGAGTGTAGAGAATATTCCCCTGTTCAAAACCTCACACTGGCTTACCATAAAACCCAAACCTTTCATTATGGCCAGCAAAGCCCTATGTGTGGCTCCTTCTTATTTCCTATGGCTCACCTCACTCTCTCAGCTCTCTGAGGCCATGGTGCTATCCCTAGTGAAATCTCATTCCCAACCAGGGCCTTTGCACCTTCTGTTTCCTAGGACCAGGATCTGTTCCCCCCAGCTGTGAACCTGCACACCTACATCATTCCACTCTCTGCTTAAATGTCAGCTCCTCAGAGACGTGTTCTGACATCCTATCCAAAATATCTGCCTCCCACAGGCCTTCCTTGGTGGTCCAGTGGCTAAGAATCCACCTTCAAATGCAGGAGACACAGGTTCAGTCTCTCGTCAGGGAACTAAGATCCTACATGCCACGGGGCAACTAAGTCTGTGCACCACACCTACTGAGCCCTTGTGCTCTAGAGCCTGCATCCTTTAGTCTGCTTTATTTTTCTTCCATTTATAGGTTGCCTATTACAGTTTCTATTACTGCATTAACAAGTTACTCCAAAACTTAGTGGCTTTGTGTAACTATCTTATTATGCACATGGATTCTGTGGGTTGGAATTTGGATAGCGTACAGAGAAGATGGATTGCCTATGCTTTACAATGTCTGAGGCCTCAACGGGGAAGACTCAAAGGTTGATGGTGACTTAACAACCAGGCTTTAAAATCAACTGAATGCTTCATTAATATATCTGGCATCTGGGCTCGGTCCATCTCCAAGACTGGGACTGTGGACCAGAAAGTCTGTGGGGTTTGTGTGTGTTCAGTGACTAAGTCACATCCAACTCTTTGCAACCCCATGGACAACAGCATGCCAGGCTCCTCTGTTCTCCACTATCTCCCAGAGTTTGCTCAAATTCATGTCCATTGAGTCAGTGATGCTATCTAACCATCTCATCCTCTGCCACCCCTTACCCCTTTTGCCTTCAGTCTTTGCCAGCATCAGGATCTTTTCCAATGAGTTGGCTCTTCACATCAGGTGGGCAAAAAATTGGAGCTTCAGCTTCATCATCAATCCTTTCAATGAATATTCAGGATTGATTTCCTTTAGGATTGGCTGGTTTGATCTCCTTGCAGTCCAAGGGACTCTTGAAAGTCTTCTCCAGCACCGCAGTTTGAAAACATCAATTATTTGGCACCCAGCCTTCTTTATGGTCTACATGTGTCCACATGGAAGCCGCCTCTGTGTGGCTTGACTTCCTCACATCATGGCACCCACGTAAGTGTCATACTTTTCAGTTGGTTACAGAGATGCAAAAGCATTGTCCCAGGAAACAGAACAGAGTTACATCACATTTTGTGACCCAGCTTCAGAAGTCATACAGTGTCACTTACCCCATACCATCCTGCTTAAAGTAGTCTCAAGTCTGTCAAGAAGAGGGACATAGACTTCATCTCCTAACTTCATCTCCTTCATCTCCTAAGAATCAAAAGAATTTTGAGCCTGGGTACTGCCGTATTGTCCAAGATGCATTCTCAGAGCTGAGCTATTCTTCCCAAGCTTGCTACCAGCTGCCTGTTGAAAGAATTGTCTCCTGAATGTTCCTGTGTTGACCTGTGAGTATCTTGCTCTATCTCTGCCTACCCCTAACTATGTGAATTCTCAGCTGCTCCACTATTTATCAAGAAGTCTTTACCAGATATAAGACCCTGACTCCACAAAAAAGAGCACCCAGTGTGTCCCTCTTTACAAGAGGGCTTCTAAATCTGTCAACAGCCCCTCCTCCATGATGGATGTGCCATCTCCAATTTACAACCTGGTCCCTGTTAATCCTCAGAAAATCCTGTTGGGACTCCTTACAGGGATGAAATACTTCTCTGAACACTGAGAAAACCACAGAGACACAACAGAAGAGTTATTAAACAAGTTTACAGTGGTTTCTTCACAAGGCCATTTGACTGAAAATAATTGGACAGGAAAAATTAATTCCAGACTGAACTGAGTAGTTATTTTCCGAAATGGAAAGAAATGCTTCTCCTTCCATCATCAAAGCCCCTAAAAATGCCACCAAGATTGTTGAATACCACTGACTTGAAACAGGAAGCCAAATGACTGGAAATCCAGCTGCCCATGGTTTATTCCTATTTACGCCCACAGATGCACTCTTTGGCCTGAGCACACTTGACTCAGGGAAGGGTTACATGTGCCTGAACACCTCGCACTGGATTTGAAATGCTTTGCATGGCAATGACCAGCAAGAATTTTGGTTGTTGTAAACCTGAGGCTGGGCATGGAATTATGTGAAATAATGGGGCAGAAAGAGACAGAGACCACATCCCAGAGGGGGATGGAGTGAAGCAAAACAAAGGAAGAGAAGGGCCAGACCCAAACTCAGACCCCACACACAGGCTAGGACATGGATTGGGTTGTCTGGCAGCAGTTCCCAGACAGAAACCTCAGTGTGATGAATCAGTTTCCTTGGACATTGAGGGGATAAAGAGTCTGCTGTGGAGACAGAGCATATTTATCCAAGGAATGGCTGTGAGAACTGGGCATGGGCGGGGGGCGGGGAATGGAGTGTGGAGTATGCGGTGGGGAAAAGCCACCGTGAACCCTCAGTCTAGACACTGAGCCCGTAACGCCCAGGAAGAAGCAAACTATCTAAAACAAAGGGTGTGTTTGGGAGAAGCCAGCTGAGACCAGCTCAGAAATGGCTGGTGGTGATACCAGAGTCGGATTTTGCAGACAAGTCTTTAAAAATCACAGAGTGGAGAAAATAGAAATGAATTTAAGACAGATATTAATAGGAGCACAAGTCTTCTTTTCTAGCCTGTAAATCACATTCCATTGTAAACAATGCCATAAAAAATATCTACAACTCTAAATAGCAAAAATTTCCAAGTATTAGAAAAAGGCTCCCTTATGTGAAGCAACACAATTACGTTAAGTACAAAAGCAATGTTTAGACAACCTTTCATAAAACAGGACTCTTGTCAGTCACAAGGGTGTTGAGACCAATACTGTACATTCCACACCCAGACAAATCCCACCACAAGACCAGCAGAGACCTACGTTATACACTTTGGAAAAAATGGCACTTTTCCTCTTTTGCCACCGCTCAAAAGAAGGTCCCAATTCTTTTGTGACCAGCCCTACAAATGTCTGATAAATTCCAGACTGCATTCAGCTGCAGGCCCCAGGGCTCTAGGCTACTTCTAAGTATCTCTGTACTGAAGAAATAACAGCAACTCATATTTGTGTCATTTTTTGTGTGTGCTTAAGAGGCATTTTTACATATATTATCTCAGCTGAGTCTCACAAAAACCATGTGAGATCAGTGTGGCATATACATGCCCTTAGCCCAAAGCTCTTCTGTCTCTCCTTGGATACAGGAAGGCATTTGGAAAGAATGAAAACAGTCTCCCCCTCCCTGACCTTACTGTGCACCAGGGCCTTCTCATCCTCCAAGAAAATAAACAAGCTTTTATAGGCTCAGGGTGTAGGTGCCACTTTGGTGGACAGTGGGTACCATACAACATGCTTTTGTTGTGGGAGACATGGAAAAGGGAGGGAGCTAGGATGGAGAAAGGGGAGTCAGTCACCAGGTTTGGGGGACCAGAGATAGTTGAGGATCCGGGAAGTTCTGAAGGCAGTACCAGGGGACAAGGAGCAGCATGAGGTCAAGTGTCTGAGGCATGTTCTAGTGGCCATCCTAAAGGAAATCAGTCCTGAATATTCATTGGAAGGACTGATGCTAAAGCTGAAGCTCCAATACTCTGGCCACCTGATACGAAGAACTGACTCATTAGAAAAGACTCTTTTGCTGGAAAAGATTGAAGGCTTGAGGAGAAGGGGACAGCAGAGGACGAGATGGTTGGATGGCATCACTGACACAATGGACAAGAGTTTGAGCAAGCTCTGAGAGTTAGTGATGGACAGGGAAGCCTGGTGTGCTGCATCCATGGAGTATCAAAGAGTCAGATGCAACTGAGTGGCTGAACCAAACTGAACCAGTGGCCAGGCAAGATCAGACAGCCAAGCTCAGCTCTGAGAAGGGAAGGCTGTCGGCTCTAGTAGGAACCCCACCAGGATGGAGTGTGAGACCCCTTGCCTTCCCCTGAGCTGGATCAACTTCCTCCTAGGACTTCCAGTCCCCCCACCTCAGTGCCAAATTGCTCAGCTATCCAAAACATTCCATAGACATTTGTAAGCCCTAGTGGGACCTAGGAACCCCAGTGAGATGGAGAAGGAACGCTCAGTCTTGTTCTTCGGGGCCAGATGAGCACACTTGAGACCACTACAAGCAAAGGAGAGATGGTGTGGACATCACTTTTCCACTGGACTTATTGAACCATCATCACCACCATCATCATCAATATTTGCCCATCCTTTATGGTAAGTCATTAAGGCCCAATGAACCCAAAGGACTTGCCAGGATCTCATAGCTAGTGAGTAACAACACCACATTTACTCTGACTCTAAGGCCCTGATTACTTTATTAAACCTGCTCTAAGGGTAAATAACCCCAAACAGTGTGCCCTTGTCAAATGAGGGGAGGCCCTGGGAATTCCCTGGTGGTACAGTGGTTAGGACTCGGCATTGCTACTGCTGGGGTACAAGTTTGATTCCTGGTAGGGGGACTGGGAGAAGGCACTGGCACCCCACTCCAGTACTCTTGCCTGGAAAATCCCGTGGACGGAGGAGCCTGGTAGGCTGCAGTCCATCGGGTAGCTACGAGTCAGACATGACTGAGCGACTTAATTTTCACTTTTCACTTTTGCACATTGGAGAAGGACATGGCAACCCACTCCAGTGTTCTTGCCTGGAGAATCCCAGGGACGGGGGAGCCTGGTGGGCTGCCGTCTATGGGGTCACATAGAGTCGGACACAACTGAAGTGACTTAGCAGCAGCAGGGAGACTGAGGGGCTTCCCAGGTGGTGCTAATGGTAAAGAACATACCTGCCACTGCAGGAGATATAAGAGATGCAGGTTTGATCTCTGGGCAGGAAGATCTCCTGGAGGAGGACATAAAAACCCTCTCCAGCATTCTTGCCTGGAGAATCTCGTGGACTTAGGAGCCTGTCAGGCTACAGTGCTTAGGGTCTCAAAGGGTTGGACATGACTGAGCAACTTAGCACACACACAGGGGAAGTAAGATCCTACAAGCCAGATCACACAACCAAAAAAAAAAAAAAAATGACAGCGGCCCTATGTTCTCCCTATCCCTGACTGCCCTGGCTCCAGGGTTCTAGCCCTGGGGCCCTGACTTGGAGGAGATATCTCTTGCAGAATGACCACTATCACACCCTTGGCTTTCTCTCAACAGTGTTTCCTCTGTCCCTGTCCTGGACCTGCTTTATAAGGTGCGTGCTCAGTGGCTCAGTCATTTCCAAGTCTTTGTGACCCCATGGACCGTAGCCCACTGGGCTCCTCTATCCATGGAGTCTTCCGGGCAAGAATACTGGAGTGGGTTGCCATTTCCTCCTCCAGGGATCAAACCCGCAACTCTTGTGTCTCCTGCATTAACAGGCAGATACTTTACCACTGAGCCACCTTTGCATAATGAAGCCCTTTTTAATACTGGAAAAAAAAATGTAAAACTTTGGCTTGGAAAGAATCCCAGACAGACCCAGCAGACACAGTTCCCCGGAAGCGGGGAGCATTTCCGCTCAGCCCCAGGTGCAGTCACCCAGGACGTGCTCCAGAGGGGCTGTTTTGTGACCAGACAGAAGAGCCCTCTTCTCTACTATGCCTGTGAAAGTAGCAGCTGTGCTGTGTCCTTCTGTCCAGGAAACTAGCAAACGACTCAGAGAAAATTCCCAAGAAAAGCAACAAAGATGATTAATGAGCTAGACGAGCAAGTGAGGGCCTTGGCGGGTCACACTGGCAGAGCCGGGTGGGTACCGCTCATGGGAGAAGGAGCTGGCCCCAAAGAGAGAGGAAATAGTCAGCGATGGCCCCAGGGAGTAGTAGTTCTATAAGCGTCATGGGAATGAAATGGAAAGAAAAGGAGGATGTCAGCTGAATATCAGGAACAAATTCCTCATGCGGGGCACCCCCAGGGCGGGGATGGAAAGCACATTGCTTTGGTTGCATCATGGAAGGCCAAGATGGAGATTTGGGCCAGGCTGGCAAAGCCCCAGAGAAATGGAGAGCCCCAGAAGAGCAGCAGCTGGATATTCCAGGTGGGGAGGCTAGCTAAGAGGACCCCCAGCAGCTCCCTGGCTCCAGGTCCCTCCACTGCTCCTGAGTCAGCTCCCCTCAGGGGCCAGTACTCCTGCAGCTCACACCCCTGGAAGGTCACTGAGATTTATGTGACCACGGCCTCCCCGACGAAGACCGGGGATCTTGGGAGCAAGTCTTCCTTTCTTGATGCACTGAAGTCCCAGGAGCCCATTAGGGAAGTTTTCTCCCGGTCGGTAAATCACCGCCTTAGTCATGCAACTTAACTCTCCAACAACTGGGGAGGTTTGTTTTT